AAAAGGAGTGTTATTTAAAATATCAGAAGCATTGTGGCATCAATGGTTAAAAGGAGTGTTATTTAAAATATCAGAAGCATTGTGGCATCAATGGTTAAAAGGAGTGTTATTTAAAATATCAGAAGCATTGTGGCATCAATGGTGAAAATTCGCTCTTGTACTTGAATTTAAGAATTAGAAATTCAAAGTTTTCATTTACTTTGCTGATGTGTATTTAGTGCTCAAAGGTCTCTTGTTAAGGTAATGGGTACTAAACAAGTCGCATCTGGCGTAACTGCGTATGCCCCAAACAAGCCGCTCTATTAACATACACATTTTTTTATTTAAAGGTCGATTTACCTTCTGTATTTCAACCGTTTCTGAAGCAGTAATTATTGTTGAACGGTCGCTATTTTACATTTCGCCGACTGTTATCATTAGTTTCTAGATTATCACTTCTGAAACGTTCTCAGAATGTGTTTTCGTAATTATGAAAATTTATTAGTTATCTTTTATATAATCATAAAGTGTTTATCTTATGTAAAAGGTAATTAAAATATCTGTAACTATTCCATTAATTTCTTATTTTAAAATCTAGTATTCAAGTAATACCGGTTGATACTTTTTCATTATTGCATGTTGGTCAATTTACTAATATTTATAACGTTTTTTTTAAACTTTATATGCACTATATGCCTCATTAAATTACAATTACCAAGGAATGTGAAAGTTTTTAGAAAAAAAAAACTGCTTATTGTTATAATAACACTATTTCAGCCATAATGTTGTATTTTCAAGTCATCATTGGTGGTTAGTTATAGACAAGATGGAATCAAATCCAAAAGCTTAACAGATCAAAATAAAATAACAACAATTGTTATGGTGTGAATGCCTATTACAAGCTGGCGAAGCGTGATTATAATTAACTAGCAGAATTACCCGGCGTTGCCCGGGTTTTCAGAAAAAAACAACAACCCTACTCTCCCTGTTCCATATTTCAATAGGTGAGACATATTTTGTGAATTTAAGAAAAAAACAAAACAACAACTTTAGGTTTGATTTTTGAAAATAAACTACGAACCTATTTTAAATCATTGCTTTCTTATGAACGATGTTTTTTGTATTTCTTTCACTGGCGAGGATAAATAGACCCTTACCGCGAGTATTTAAATTATGTTATACACGTATGAGTACCAGTATTGACGAACAGGATAAGTCTAGCTATATTCCCGTCATCTCTCCTCAAATATCAAAATTTCAAACGTAAATATGTATTTAATGTTTAATTTGCTTTAATGTAAACATAGTATATTTTTTTATGAATATGATACCCTATTCATATTATGACATGGACGTACGATATACACTACAAACAAAATTCAATACTGTACTTTATAATGTATTAAAAGAAAAAAAATCCACTTCCAGATATCAAACAGCCCAGAGTAAAAAAAGTAGAATAAAATATATTCGCTGACTTGACTTTAATCTCATTTTAACAATAAGTATTATAATGTAAGCCTTACTCTTTTCACCTAGTCTATTTCATGGCAGACGGCATAATTTTATTTAATAGGCTAGGCCGACTGTTTGCTTTTTCACACAAACCAGTCTAAATCTGCATATATTTGTTTTGTGTGTAAGGTTAAATATATGATGTATTAGCAGATGTATAGTTAATGATCTATAACTAAATAGGCCTATAATGCTACATAATAAATTAACTGTTAACTCAAAATTACCAAAAAATGTCCAGTCTGCGTAGAATTTATTGGTGTAATGAATATGTTAACGATAAAATTACCGGTTTGGCTAGCAGTCGATAGACGCGTATATCAACGACAAATTGTCGTTTTGCGCACCTTCACGTGAGGGAAGTGTGACCTGTGCAGTGAACGCGGCGGACAAACAAGTATGCAAACAAACAAACAGAGATATTTTGGGTTGTATATATAGATTACACCTGTCATAAGACATTATGTTAGGACTATTATATTTTAACACTACATTCTTAATATAGTTCCTTAGGAATTTTGAAGAATTAGAAGAGTGTGTACTAATAGAAGTTCAACCACATTATACTCGTCATATCCATTGCTAACGATGCGTTTCTCTATATAAATAGTCCCCACTGCTATGCTGTTCGTTGTATCCCAGCTGGACTGAATAACTCTAGATTAAGCGAAACGAGTCGTCGACATTTGATATGGAGAATATAATGTGGTTAAAATACTATGCTAATTCTTGAAAATCCCTAAAGGACTAAATTAAGAATGTAGTGCTAAAAATAAAATAGGCCTAACATAATGTCGTATGACAAGTGTAACTAATCAAAATAAACATGTACCTTGCATTTATCACTGATGTGTTCCTCCATAAAGCCAACACTTTCATCCATCTCAATGCCTTCATCTTGACTATCTTTCTGTTTTGTAGCAACAGGGGGAGAAGGTGTCGCAGTTCGAGTAGAAGACTTTGGACTGTCCCAGCTGGATACACCTGAACTGCTGGTGCTGCTTGCCCAAGAGTGGGGATAGCTTCCTGCATATACAAAAGAAAAAAAGTCAATATACAAAATATTTCACAAAACTTTAAATTAACGGTTCGTTGGTAATAAACGAATTGAATTTTGTAATGGCCTGCATTTAGTAATGGTAGCCCTCAAACGTATTTGAAGTGTGATAGGGACGCCATTCTATTCATGATAGCGTATGTGAGTGTATCTGTGCCTGCGTACAAATGGGTGTTTTAAAAGTTTATACGAAAAAAAAAAGAAACTCCACTTGTTCCCCGCTTCTTTCCTGTTTATGCGATAAACCCACGATAGGTCAGCGGTAAGCTTACGGACTTACAACGCTTAAGTTCGGGGTTTGATTCCTTTGGTGAACAGAGCGCTACACCAACCATTTAAACTACTTTCTTCAAACGAAGGTGATGGATTCACGTCACAATGTATTGTCTGATCTACATCGTCAGTATAGTATAATGTCTTTAATATTTAGTAACGAGGTTTCACTTTTTCGAGGGTTTCAAGCTTCGTTTGTTTACATGGTTTATAATCCTAAACATAAAATAAAGGTTCGCTATTAGACATCAGTTCTTGAGGTAGGGACTATTACTGAAACAAAGACTGTTTGTGTTATTAACCAAATTTACATTTTAGAGACTTTGTACTTGGCTAAACGCTAATACAGTCTGGTTAATACTTTTATATATATCTTCCTTGCAATAAAACACAATTATAAGGATGTAAAATGTAATAATCATGTAAAGTATTGTTACTACACAAATGCATAACACATTATTCTGTCCCTGACTGAATTTTTTCCTAGTTCTCAACTTTTACCCTCATGTGTTTGACTTTATTATAATATTATCACCGAATCTAACTGATATAGAAAACTCGAGGTTTAATGCTTCGATAAGAGCTCTGAATGAAGACAATCTGCCTTCACAGTGGCTCAGTGATAATATTGACGGCTTAGACGCTAAAATTCGAGGTTTAATCCCTTCTGCAAGCACAGCCCAAAAGCCCACTGTGCTAACAACAGACAAACTGAAGGCAAGCTTATTCTGTTTAGTTACGTGCAACTGACTACAGCAGCAGGTTATCCCCTAACATTTGGGTTAGATGTTTTCTAAGCGTTGTGTTTTAAATTTACTTGTTATGTATTTTTCCATTCACCTATGTAACTGAGCAATTCTTTATAGCGTCAAGTGTACTTCATGGTTTGTAACTTAAAACTATAAGTGGAATTGAGTAAAAGCAAAATCCAGGAAGACCTTACCCAGAAGGTTAGACGACGCACTTCTTTGTATTTTTTTTATGGCCAAACGTTTCTTTTATTTGTGGCTTATGCTCTTCTTTATATATATATACACTGTGTGTCAACACATAATCACATGCCTTTGTAATACTACTTTTTTTTTATGTGGTTCATAGTAAATTCTCGACCGTGCAATGCTGTTAAGTGTAGTTTATAACTGGAGGTACATCAAAGCCTTTTTAATGACAGATACACGTATAGCAACGTTGATAAACAAGATAAAGCCTAATGACACAACATATCGAAAAAGGATGTCTTCAGTGTTTTCGATGGAAGCAGAAAAACTCA